TAACACTCTAGTTTACTCACCTCCACATCTATCAGACTACTCTCAATTAAATGAAAATTCCTTAAAAACTAAAGAAGCAAAAAGATCAATTTCGCAGTTTTACAGTATAAGCTTCACAAAAACTACAGTTTAAATTTTGGTACCAAAAGCTAGTGACATAAATGCTGAAAATGATTCTGATTGCTTATATTTTACCTCCAGCTTTCAGATAAATGTGAGAAGCTGCCACCTTGTCTCCCTTCAGTGACAAGAACTTCCTTACACTGACAGTCATAGAACGACGCTGGTTAGCTGGAACGCTCTGGGGGTGGAATGGAATTAGAAACGAATGCTGACAAGAAAATGAGCAGCCACCAAAGGAACTTATGCAAAGCCGAACTTCACTAATCTTACGATGAGCAGCTTAAATATCCAATTTTGGAGCAGTCGTTGAAAATAAAAAAAGGCAGTTGTAGGCTACAATAATCCTTGCAAATAATTGTGGTGCATATATGCTTTTCTAATAAACACTGAAAAAGGAAATTGTGTAACTCATTTTAAGACCGGTTTGGAAGTTGGTAAAGAAGGAGAATTCATGAAAATTCCTCTACTGATGGAGTTTTATCTTGCCTTAAAAAATGGTCACTATTGCAAGACGTAAATAAATCTTTGTTTCTAACTACTTAAAGCACTCATTAAAACACCTGAAAGCACCTAGAACATCTAACTTCAGGATCATACCATTCTCTTCAGAAAACAACTTATAGCCCAAAAGAATCAACTAATTTAAGTTTGTTAACTTTAGAAGCACTAAAAGAGGTAAGACGAATGCAGAGCATATAAAGAACTTAAGCTGCTTGAAATGTTGAATGCAGTTTACCTCATCGTAAAACGTATTACATCTGTCGCTCATTAAGAAGTGCCACTGCTCATCAGCAATTTACTCAAAGTTTCTTTTTCAGTCGATAGATTAATATGAAATTCGGGAATATAAATCATCAAGCAAATTGTCGACGAGAGAAAAGTGTCAGAAAATACGCATGAGAATCTAGAAATTTTGTCAGTGCAAATCGTGTAGTCACAATGGATTTTCCACAAGAGCTGTTAATCCTTTTATTTTTTATTTTATTTATTTTTTTTTGCGATCGGTAACTTGTTTTCCAAATCTCTCGTTACTGTATGCGTTTTTTGATGCTATACATTTTATTTCACTTGGAAGTAACATTTGAAAGTAACTAAAAAGGATTATGCTTGAAACACTCGAGAACTCAAAGTAATATTTACCGGGACGTATCCACAGTTTTATATTACGCGAACTACATGCAAATTACAAATGCCTTTATGTGGTAACTCTGGCTTCAAAAAAAAAGTTGTCACAAATGTTTCTTCCTCAGTGAAACTACAGCCTTACAAAAGCATTTTTATCACAGTTTGCTGTTCAGAACGCGTCTATGCAAAGTTCTCTGTGAGTTCGAAATGATGAACAAAGCCCAGTGAAATTTTACACAAAGATCGAATTTTTTGGGAATACTATCAGTAACTGTTTAAAAGCACCAAAAAATTTATTAGGTTGCGAAAACTGTGGAATGCTCTAGATTGATTTCCAATCAGTTTAAAAGATTCCATTGTGAAACTACAAAGATCATAAGTGGAATGAAGTGCTGAAGAAATGAATTTTTGCACCACTATATGCTCAGCAGTACTAATGTGTTAGTAGCAGAAATCAGGTAGAGGTTTTCGCTTAAATAAAGTCACTAAAAAAACACAACCTTAAGACACACCTTAGGTGTGATCCGCTTGGTCTGAGGAAATTGAATGATGCTCGATTTTGGATGTTCGAAAAACCGAACAAGTCGACTATAGGTGACATCGTTGAGTAGGGTTTCAGATAATAATTATTTACTACTTTCTACGCCTAAGTGCATCTTGTGTATCAGCGTTTCGCAGGAATACCCGCACAGTGTTTCGCCGGATATTCGTTAAATAAAACGTTTAGGCGTTTGGTTTGACTTAGTAAAAACAAAGAAACTTTTACTTATGTTTCTTCAACCACGTTTATTAACAATAGCTGTTTTGCCATAATTTACAAATAGATTCTTCTTAAATGTTTTTTTAAATAAAGCATTACCCAAGTTTCTTGGTGACTAAGGATGTTTTAATCAATAAATTCTATAAAAATTTGATCGAGTTTTAAAAGAAAATGATGGCTGAGTCGTTAAAAGAATAGTAAATTACTTACTATTAATCGTCACATTTAAAATATAAGAAAAATAATGCTATTAAGAGATTAGACTTGTTCAAGTTAAATCTCTATTTGCTTCGGTACTTTTTTATTATATGCTGCTAAACTGATCGTTGTTTAAATAACTAAAATAAACTTTTTTTGTCTTAAGACAGTGAAAAAATGTTTAAAAAATTTCAAAAGCTTTATGGCAAAACAATATCTGATTGAACGCTTGCCGTTAAAGGTGGAGTAACTTTTCCTAAGCAAATGTTCCAAAAGTGTCAGTTTGATTGAACAAGTAGCGAACTGGCGGCAGATGAGTAGATAAAAATTAAAATTTTTTCTGGCTTCTTAATGGATTATCAAAGCAATAAAGATATTTCTCGGTTATCGTGTCACTTTTATATTGTCCAGATAATTATTGCCCTTATTACCTGATCGTTCACCTCATTCGAATATCACCTAAAAGGCGGCTTTGTTTGGTTTTCCTTCATCTGCTTTTTTCTGACATTACATGTTAAAAAAGTTTTGTGGTGTCAAAATGTATAAACGGAAATATAAGAGTTGTTGATATCTGCAACCACATCTTCCTCAGCCCGTGTATTTTTCTGTCTAATTTTCATGAATTTATCTTGCACTTATCATAACGCAGTTTTTGTGTTCCGGTTTTCCTGAGGTCAATCAATGATTTGTATTTTGCGGTTCAAGCTGCTTATTTTTCAAAACCCTGTTTGAAAATGTCTTATCATCTTGCGGATAACAATAGGTTGTTTCCGGATTTACTTATAACTGCAAGTTGAGATGGATTGAAAGGTGTTCCGAATAAACTTAAAAGAATGGTAGGGTAACAGCGCTTGATAGTTTAAGCCCTGATTTGTTTTCCAGATTACGGAATTCCCACATTTTTTTCTTTTTGTTTTTACACTGAAAAAGCTTTCAAGAGGCAAATTACCAAGTTTAGTATTGTGCGTTGAAAGCTACTTTGTTGACCGATTTTTACCCAAAAAGCATCTAGAAAGTACGTGAAGTTATTTAAAATGGTAAAATAGTACGATATGCCGATAAGAAGTATGTAGAAAGTGTTTTGTTAAAAAAGATACCTCTTATGCAATACTTCTTTTCGCATCAATGCTGCCTGGTGGCGTCTATGACGGCCTTCTGATAAGCTAGTTGAAGCCAAGACTTTAAGGGTTTCATCAATATATTTGTGCAACAATTTCATCCTTAACTCTAGAAGATTTCTTGGCGAGATTTCAATTGTGTAGTACTGTTGCTATAAACTAACTTTATTGGTGTTTTTAAGAAAGTAATTAAGTTTATAGGATTCCCTATGTCTGTTTTTTGAGAAGTCACTTAAACTAATTAAACAGGTTTATGCCCAGCCTACTGCAACCGGATAAGGAGGGTGGAAATAACGATACCTCACAAAACTAGTGAATGCCAATAAGCAGTATATAGTTTTCAGTGGCACTTAATGATTGATTAATATCTAAAAATATTGTCGGTGGGATTACATATGTACAGAATATGTCGCTAAGCATCAAAAAAAAACAAACAAACTTCTACTTGCATGTGATGCAGCTTGCTTCCTTTCATATGACAATCATAAAACTGTTACTAAGAACTCTTGGCTCCATCTGCAACGAAGAGGCGTAGCGTTTTTACAGAATACAGTAGTTTAAGAAATCAAGAAGCAAATCAAAATATTATCAGTGGTTTTTGGTTTGTTGGAGTATTAAACGCACATTGTTCGTGTTCTTAGCTTTAGTTTAACAAAGTAAATTGAAAGACTGCAAGTAAAGAGATGGCACATGTCACTTGTAAACTTCTTTCAACTAATCATTCTCCCAAGTTAAATAGTGTTAAATCTATCTTGGTGTAATTGTTTTCAATTTTAAACTTGGGAATAACGTTGATCTGGCCCAGTTCACTTATGCAACCTTTCAAAACTTTGCAAAAAGCGTCATAAGTCAGATAAAATAAGATAACATCTGAATTATCAGCAGTTTTAGTGTAAATTTTTTGAAATGATATGCTTATTTTCTTTTTTATTTGGAGAAAAAGATATTGGCAATACTATAAGCCAGCAGATAATTAAATGCAATAAAAAATTTTCAGACTTAATAACTTCCATTTCGACGGTATTATCAGTAATTAATTTGAGGATTCGCTGAAAAAACAATAAGTAAGAAAAAAGGCGGAAAAGAAAGAAAAGTGAGCGCATATTTAGAAAACGTCAAGAGTCCTTTACGTATTCTTACTTAAAAACTTCATTTTTTTTTTTTGTTCTTCTCTAATGTTTCCAAATTCTAAGCGATTAAATTCCGCTGCAGTCGAAAGCTGAATGAACTAATGAATTTTAATAAACAAATGAAACATTAGAAGACGAAGTTTTTCTAATCAGTGATAATTGCGGTCAAACATTTTCAGGTTAATTAGGCAATGGTGTATGACTAGAATCTCGATTACAGAACCAAACTTAAAGTCTCAACTTGCAGAACTGTGCTTATGGAACAGCAAACGCATATATCTTTAATGTATTTCGACATTTAAAAGATATCTAAGTGATCGCTTATTCCAATAATGGTCGCATGTCTTAATGTTAATACATTCACAATTTTACCAGCAGTCGTTCTTTATATCTCGGTACGTTAAAACATTGATACTTAACTCCTTTAAACACTCAAACGTTTAAATTCTGTTCTTCAAGTAAGAGATAGGAATTTCTAAAAAGACAGTCCTGAAATTTTCAAACAATATTAACCACAAGCAAAAGGTTAGATCAGTGTGTATAACAATGCCCTCATTTGACAGTCACACCAAATTTTCACTTGCAAAAGTATTTTTTTTAAAAATGTAGAAACGCGTATCACTTCCGTAAGTTTAATAAGCAAAACTGTGCCATCATAAACTCCGTAATCCAAAACAATAAAAGTACGTTAAACTTGCATTGTTATAGAGCAATTGCATTTTAGAGTTCACTCGGTAGAATAGAAAAATTTTTGTTTGTGTTCTCTCCAGTAAGCTCAATTCAAATTTGTCTCCCCACAGTTGCTGTTCTTTAATAAATAACTTTGTCAATCTACATCCAGGCCGCATTAGAGATTAAAGTTGGTATATCAATGCCAATGGATGAGTCCATCATGGGCATTACATTTTTAAACACTGTCCCAGCAGCAGAAATTGCACTTGACAAGGCCCGAGCGCAAGGAATGGCACCGAATGTTACGTTTACGTATGCCGTCTCACATTTTTCTTTATGTTAACAACCTTTAACTTCTTCAGAAAGCTTTCTAAAGCTTTCTGAAAATATGCTCCAATTAGCAGGAAGAACCGAACAAAGTTTACTCAACTCTTAAACAGATATTCGTTTTGTAAACTGCAAAAAAATACTTATAACGGTTTATAAATTAACAGTTTTTCAGTACTGAAGCATTAATTTCAGATTGTTTTATCGCGGTACTACCTGTACAGGATTAGAAGGTACCACAAGCACTTTAGAATTGATAAATGTAGATAAGGTTGATGTTATCTTTGGACCAATGTGCAATTCTGGTAGGTTAAAGCATTTGTACACCTACACCACTCACAAGCAATCACCTAAAAAACTCTGACGATAAAGCAAACACCACTGAACAGCTACGATGCAATTTTTAGCTGCATTAATCACTGGTCCGGCACTTGTCTATTTTGACAAACCCAGTTTTTTATGGGGTCCATCGCCGACATCTGACTATGACGATAGTGACAATTATCCACTGTCCTCCACATCTGTTCCAAACACCTACGGGTTTGCCATGTTATAAAAATTAGGAAACTGTTCTATCATAAAGAGCCATGCATCAAAAAATAAAAGCTTATTTTTTTTTTACTTGATAAGAATTCTGATACTATGATTGGAAATATTTGAGTAAAAGTTCAGTCATCTAAGCAAAAATAAACAGCTTAGCAAATCGTGGAATTATTCTAATATACATCATTTATCAATTCTTTAATTTTTTTATTTACTAGACTTAGTGCAAAAAACTTCAACAATCCAGTGCTTTACTGTTTTTAACAGATGAATAGTAATCGTTGACTGCGTTAACAGAGATCAACAATTCTTTTGTGCCTCGAGTTTTATCAAAAACTAAATAGGTTGTATGTTCCAAAAATCTCTTCTAAAATTCATTGCGCAAGTGAAGAGGATAAAACTTTGTTGTCGATATTGGCAAAAGGCTGACTACTTGTAGGCGAAGTCGAGCGGTTCTTTCAATACTTGACAGATTTGGGTGGCGTGACATTGCATTTGTGTATACTACTTCTAAAACCGATGTTGACTGTATCTATTTTGCCCAGGAAATTGAGGTATGACAAAAGCTTGATAGTTTTCAAAAAAATAATGTTTTTTTGTAATTTATTTTTAATTCCTGAAATGGATTGTCTTGTGAGAATCTGAAAGATTCTGGCAAAGTTTATAATTTTTGAGTCAGCAGTTGCGGAAATAATTTTCAGGCTGCTATTGCCGATGTTCAATCACAAGTAACACTAGTTTTAAAGTCACGTTTGGATGAAGCCAGCTTTAACCAAACTCTGGATGCCATTCGCGTTCGCAGTAGGAGTAAGTTTAATCAAACTTTTATCAAATTATATACACATAAACGCTACATCCATATCACACCAAATCACAAATTTCTTCAGCCGACCTTTCAGACTTTGTTTTTAAATTTTGGCAAATAATACAGCCTGACTAAATATTGAAAGAATGAAAAAAGCTTATCTTAACAGTCGTTTCTCTGCTGAATAGGACCGGTCTAAGTGTGAAACAATTTCACATATCACTTACTCAATTAATACTTTCGAAACCAAACAAATATGGCTTCATATGAAAGTCCTTCTTCTTTACTTTTAGAATTATAAAGATTCAAATACTACTGTTTCGTAGAAAGGAGTCTGCTAATAAATAAAGGGAAGTGAATTTTTCAGTTGTTATAACTTGCTTTGACACCCCAGCAGACACACGGAATTTTATCGTCAATGCTTACGCAAAAGGAATGATCAACGAAGAATATGTTTATATAACGGCAGATCTTCGAAGATTTTCGGGTCATCTCTCATAACAGCTTTCCTAACTTCTGTTTTATGTTTATATTAAAGCATGAAAAGATATTTCCGCCGTCAATTCCCAACACTGGCCACTCAGCAGTCTTCGTTTTCAAAAAGAAATATCAGATTTCAGAAAAAATTTTGCTTCTCTTCTTTTTTCTTTTGATATATCACTAAGACCATTTCAGGTGGACAATGGAACAGTGAAAATGAAGATATTATCAATAAAGCAATGAGTTACTTTTTAATTATCGCTACGGTTAGCAAAAATTTTCACAAGACGTTCTCAAAAAGATTTTGACAACTTGTTCTTCAAGTCAGCAACGGATCTTAGATTTCTAAATTCACTTATCTTCTACAACGAAATTCAATATTTAAACCGTGGATTTTACAGATTTCTGAGGAGTACACAGATAACGCTCATCAACAATTTCAAACTGACTTCCTTCTTCGCGTACAACAAGCTCCATTCAACTGTTCCAATTGCACAGAAGTGTGTTCAACTTTATCGGATTCCCAGTGCATTTCTACCGCCAATTAGTTGGCGATATCGCTATTAAACTTTGTAACTTTTATGTGAGCCAAGTGAACAAAAGTATTTTCTGGCTTCTCTGATCATTTAGACATTTCAGTTTCAGTCATGAAGCTATAAAAAATTCTGCGGCATCGCTTCCTATTGCCAATTAATTAATTTTAAGATTTCTCCATTTGCGTACTTTCTATATGATGCAGCCACATATTTCATGACATTATTAGACAAAAATCTTCAAAAAAGTACGGATGGATATAAGTCGGGCACTCAAATTATGGAATCTTGTTCTTATACGGGAACAGGTAAGTGACATAATCTAGGAAATTGTTTGATCACAGTTAATTTAAATCACTTCCTACTTATTTCAAAGTCCAATTAAATTTAAAAAAAGAACTGTTTCTTTGCTATTTAGAGACTGCATTAGCTAAAAACGACTCTTAATCATCAGTTAAATGAATATATAAAAAAACAACAAATTTTTGATGGCGTTACTGTTTCAGGTTTGACCGGCGAAATTATAATGACTACAAATTGTACGCGTCAACCGACCTTCTTTCTCAAAGGGAATGATATTAACGGAGATGAAGTCTTATTTGCCACAATAAAAATAGAACTACCAAACGTTGTAAGAACACAGTTTATTCTTCTGTTTGGCTTTCGCTTACTGTACCTCTCAAGAATATCTTACAAAGCCCCTGGCATACCAGATTTTAATGTTTCAACTGGTAAAACAGGCAAAAACAATAGAATATCAACTGCTTAGAGAAAAAATAAACAAAACACTCTTTTCAATAGAACTACTTACAGTTTACTTCTTGATGCATTATTCCAGTCGGAGCAACATTAGAATTTGATAATCGCTTTTTCCATTATGACGCCTCTGAGTTATAACTAGTCAACCGTCAAATTTAGACATTCATCCCTCATTACAACGATGAAGCAACAGCAATGTGGGCTACCCGAGGTGGAGTACGACCCCTGAATGAACCAATTTGTGGTTTTGAAAATACTCGTTGTGTCAGTTATGCAATTTGGTATGGAACCGGAGGAGGCGCTTTTGGACTTGTCATTATAATTGCCGTATTGATTGTTGCGTGCACTTGGCGGTAACTATCCACATCTACCTGTAAATTTACTTTTATAAGTAGAATAACTGATGGAAGTTCCATGAAACTAATGATTCAGGACGAGGCAGATGGAGAAACAAGAACTAATGAAACTGTGGCAAGTAGAATTCCAAAATTTGACAGAGCCAGAAGTTGTAGGCCTTTCACAACTTTACTTTTTTAATCTGAATTTTATTTTATTCATTGAACTTTGAGGAGAAATTGCACCAAACATAAGAAAATGTTCTGATACTGTAAATTTTCAGAAAAAAAAGGCTGAAAGCCATCGTTCGTTACAAAGTGGATTTGAGTCAAACACATCAACAACTGTTGACGTAAATTTGCGTACTAGCGGCTATACACCTTACCTATATCACAATGAACTTGTCTTAGCCAAACAACATTCACCGCTACACCGATTAACCAAATCACACATCAGATTCATGACACAGGTATGAAGTGAAGATCAAATGATTAATTTCAGAATTACCCTACAACACACCGTTGAGCACTTGTTTACTTTGGACCCCAAAAGTTTGCCTTCAAAAGCAGAAGGCGCTACAACAGTCAGGCTTCAGCAGCGAATGTAGCAGATACACAAGAGGGGACATGCTTAGATGTCACTGGCCTTTACGCAAGCTATAGCTACTGACCATCTCCATCCAAGCACAGAAGTTAGCCGGATACCTCAAATAAAATGTAAAAAAAACTAGGAAACTGAATACGAATAAAAACCCTATATTACAATACGAAAATGATTAGTATCGGAGGTTGTACTTTGACTTTTTCCGATATTCAATCAAAACAGCTGAAAGGCTGCGGTACGCATCATACTACTCTTGCAGTACCATTTTTGGTCATTCTTTATTATTCTTATCACTTGTAGTATTTATTTCCTGCAGACTTTTGTTGCACCTATTTCCTCACATTTCTCCTGTCTACTATTTTTTAGCCTAATTTTTGGGCCGCTGAAACGTTTTGAACACCTAGCTGTAGACGGAACTGCGCTCTGCTTTAAACCCAGTACAGAATTAGGTTTTCTAAAGATGAAAAGAAAGTCAGACAGATTAGACCGCGAAAATCAAAATATTGGTGAAAAATCTGTACATTTTATCGCTCTTATTTTGCTTACTTCTCTACAGTGTTTTTCCCATTACTTTTTTTTAAATACTCAGTAAGAAAACAAAAATACTTTTTAGTAACTGTTGTGGAAACTGAAGAAGAAAAAGATATCATCAGCAAAAGTGTTAGACAGTTTTTACTGCCACTTACAGACACTCTTTAATGTAAGCCCATGCTCAGTACACCCCTGAGAGGTAGGAAGAATGACGGAAACGCTTTGGCAGTACAGCGAAGAGGAAGAACGAGCGATTTTGAAACGAATAAGGCAGCTTTAAAAAATTAGCGGAACAAAGAGTTAATTAGAACACAGAATGAACTTTTGGAATTTTCAAGAGCTTCTGAGTATTACAGCAAAAGATAGTGTTCCAAAAGGTTTTAAGCCATGTAGGAAGGGAACGGTGAAGGTTGAGTACAAAGGATGGAATAGCAAAGACATGCTCCGGAATGTTCGAGAACACTCAAGAAGGAGGATAGGTAAGCGCTGCAGAAGATTCACAGGCACATGAATACTCTTAAGCGAAAATGGCCTAATGATGTCAGCCTGAAACGCCTCAAAATTTTAAGGGACTCTAACTGGTGATAGAATGTCATCTCGCTGTAACCGTCATTTATGCGACTGCCTATCGCTAAGAAAAATGTGGAGCCTTCTATAATTTAGTGACCGAGGAATGTAGCGCTAAGTATCTTGAACGGTCCTGTATTCGAAAGCAATATGGGCATGTGATACCTGCTGCATGCTTCTCATAACTACTGCTTTGAGGATTGCTGGCAAGACCACTTTTGTTCTGCATTACTTCTGATAAATAAGGTGAAGCTTTACAACGGTCGACCCACAAGTTGTTAGGATATTGCAAAGGAAGACCAGATGGGGTCGAATCTAAATGGCTACAAATGCAAAATATGACATCCATTAATTGAGTTACGACGCTATACGGCAAACTTGACACGTTCCAAAAAAGCAGAGAAGTGGCAAATAGACGGTCATCTGCAACTAACTTAGTGGGTAGAGCGGCACTTTGTATCAAAGAAGTTGTGTGATGGATACTAGCGTCTGGAAACGGGAAACTTGACATTCTAGACTCAAAGACTTCTAATTTTCTGCGAAAAATTTGACTGAAACCTCGATTTTCCTCTTTCAGATGCGGCAGTTTGACCATGAGAACATAAACAAATTCATTGGCTTATGCATTGATGGCCCTAATTATTTATCCATATGGAAGTTAAACAACAGAGGAACTCTGAAGGTGCAGTTGAGCAGAAAGCATATTATTCCTCGTACTACATCTCCAGCTGTTGTGTTTCAAAAACCAAATCTTAAAATTCATTTTTAGCAGAAATTTATGAACGATTTTAGGACGTCATACAGTCGAAACTAACTACAATCGATGCTTTCTTCAAATTTTGTTTAATGCGTGACCTGTTACATGTAAGCCTGTTAGACTTCTTGTACCCAGGAAAATTCCATTAAAAATTGATGTAGCGATTTAGACCGTGAAGACGTACATTTTATGCCATTTTGAATAAACAGATTTCAGAAGGATAAGAAATGAACTAGGAAACGCAAAAGACTTATTTCTTAAAAAACAGATGATTGTGCATCGTTGATTTCTTGATATGAACTACAGAAGTAGTACTTTTTTAGGGAATTCATGCCATCCATCGAAGCCCGTTCTTGGGTTACCACGGTCGACTCACGTCTTCCTGTTGTATGGTAAATGAACGTTGGCAAGTTCGAGTTGGTGACTATGGACTTGCAATGATGGGATTCTTCGAAGAGAAATCTAAAATGGGTGACACTTTGTGACATCGGAAAAGAAATGTTTCTTGTATTGAAACAAATGAAAGATTTATGAACAACATTGTAGCTCTTTTCAATACACTGCTTCAAAATTTCTAGATCTTCTATGGACAGCTCCTGAACTGCTACGCAGCAATGAGAATGGTAGTAAAGCTGGAGACATTTACAGTTTTGCAATAATCTGTTCGGAAATTGCTACCGGACAAACAGCGTGGAACGATTTGGACGACGAAAATACAGCTGAAGGTTTCTCATAGACTATTTGTCTTTAGATATGTAGTCGAATCATCTTCATGTAGACGAGGACGACTGACTGCGGTTAACTTGGCCAAACATCTACCCATTCAGCAACATTTTTAAAACACTACTCAAGACTTTCTATTAGCACAAAAATTCCGCAAAATAGCTACTGATACAAAAATTTTTTAAAACTGCCTTAATTATGTCTATAGTAAAGGATGAATACTTACTCACATGAAAGCAAACAAAATCACACCGTCTAAATTTATTACCGACTTCTCAATCCTGGTTAATTTAAGATATAATCTATCACGTGCGAAAGGGTAGAACACCGCTGACAAGGCCGTCTTTGGAACAGAACACTGAAGAGCTCACTCCAGTCGTTGTAAGTGAATGGTATTATTATATATCGGCATAACACTTCTGAGAAAGAGTTGAATCTTAGTTGAGTAATCCAGAAAAATCATCTCTCGTAGGCCTCACGTTGTATTTTTCATATATCTTTAGCATTAAGGGTTAACAAACTGCGAGCGTAGTCACTACAAGTATACCGGTTGTCTGGACAATAAAAATAATGAAATTTTTAGTTGCATCTGATCCGTGATTGTTGGGCTGAAAATCCAGATGACAGGCCAACGACAGATGCCATTAAACAATTAATGCGTTCTGTTAAACTATCAAAGTAAGTGACCAACCACTGTATTAGATTTCGTCCGCCGTAAGGTTCAAACATTTGCTTTCTGAGCCCATTTTTAATACTCATAAAAAACACTTATTTCTCCTTCATCCTCGTTTGCTTTCCCTAGTGCTCGCCACAGAGGAACATTAAAAAAGCAATACTTTTCCCTCCAATATATGAAGTATTAAAGACGTGTAAAAGCACTAGGTACTTTAGCGGTCCAACGGATTCTCACGTGACACACAGCCAGAACAATATGGTTGGCTGTGCGCCGTCTTCATCTTTCGAAGACTTTGCCACGCACTAATTAGAGACTAAAAGTTATAGCCTGAAAAATTTCTAACACTAATAATCTCACTGACTCAGCAAAACTCTAAACGGCACAAATTTGCTGAGAAACCTGCAAAAACCATGAATTTCGCAGATTAAGCAGCACACCATCAGGATACTTAGCAAAGGCTTTCGGATAAAATAATTGCCATTAACCGTTATGATGGCCTCCGCTTAAGCGAGAGGCAACACGTCTTACCTTGTGGTTCACGAGCTGCTACTGATTGCACGGGTATTGTCAGTCAGAGTTCGTTACAGCTTGTAAGTTCCTTTGAAAAAAAAGTTTTGTCTGAAGCTTTTCAGAATCTGAGAAGAAAAGGCTAGAAAACGGTTTTGTCAAAGTGTCAAAAATGTCAAATTGCTGAAATGTCAAAGCTTTTATGGTAATTATCAAATAAGTTTAAAAATAAAAAATGGATTTGGGAAACTGCAGCGTAAGTAAAAAAATTTGAGGCGAAAATATGGAATCATTTGAGAGAAAGCCTTTTTTTTGTTTCTTTTTTCTTTACCTTTAAAATCTTAAGCTGCAATAAAAACACTCTAACGGGATTAGTGCAAATGTTCTTATCTAAAGAAAACTTTAGATTAAAAAAAAATAGTTGGCGCATTTGAGGACACAAAAATTTGTTCTATACAGGTACGCAAGTATTGCGAACGTTTTCTTAAGCTTACAAGCAAACAGAACAATTAACTAAAAATACCTCATTTTTGTCTTGTTTTATTTTAACTAAATAGCTAACTGTCTTAGTAAAACAGCTGGTGTCCTTATTTTCTTAAAAATGGTGCTATATAAACCTCTCTTCCCAGGAGGAAGACAACAGCCTTTCTGGCTTGTAAATCGGTCTAATGATTACTGCCATAACAAAAAATCGCTTTTAAGATGGGCTATCCGTTCGTTGGTCATCTACTCCAACTGCGAAAAAACCAATACAAATACGAGTAAGCATGTACTCCCAAAAACAAACAATTTATTGCTGCCTGTAACTGTTCGCGAAATCCCGATTCTCGCTCTCTTATTAAAGACCATAATCAAAAGAACCCAACTTAAATGAGTAATGTTAGGTTCCCCCTTCCAAAGCAAACTTTTACGTAAAGTATTATACTGATAAAGAATAAGAAAAGAGAAAATGACGAACTAGAAGAGTTACCCAACCAAAACGAAGATCTTAGAGCGCGGTCAACAATGCATTTTATTGTAGAATTTTTAAAGACAGGAAAGGAACTTCTAGATTCTACGGCATCACGAAAGTGTGCAGGAGACAGTAAATCTGAAGCTATGAAGTTACCAAAATCAGGATTTTTAAAACAGCCTCAGTACCACCAAACTCTCATATGCCTTCATGTGCGTTACCGCTACCAACAACAGTTCTTACTAGCGCGACCTACTCCCTATAGCACTCATTAGTTTATAAATATTAATACTTTAAAAACCATATCATCTCAAACTTTCCTTAGAAACTGGAATTGACCAGTATGTTAATACGTGCGTTTCCTCACCGTGTAGATAAATGACTAGCAAGTTGTTTATTCTAGAAAACAAAACCTGATGGATCACGTTTTTGCGCTTATGGAAAGCTATGCAGCCAATCTGAGGCGCGAAGTCGAGGAGAAAACCAAAGAAGCGATTGAAGAGAAAAAACGGGCCGACTTGCTTTTATACAAAATTCTACCTCCGTCAGTACAGTTTCCTCTCAAATTTCATTGAATAATTTATTTTCACTTATCAATCCACAGTTCACAAAAGGACTTAGAGCTAAGTGTTGCCGGAAAAGATCATGAATTATAAATACGTTGAAGCCTGTCGTGATGCGTCTCCAGCTTACTGATGAAGTAATATATTAGTCACTAAAGCGGCTGATGTGAACTTGGCTTGAGAAGCACTAAAACCGACAACCAAAATACCTTCTGCTCCAACACAACAGATTACCACTCAGATACACTTAGATGCATCGAACTGAAGATGCTCTTTCACAGATCACTTGTAGTAGCGCAGATTTTATCTAAATTTTAGTAAACTCTTCCTTATTTCAGACAAGTAGCTGACAAGTTAAAGATGGGCCAGTCCGTTGAACCAGAATCTTACGATGAAGTTACGATATTTTTCTCCGATGTTGTCCAATTTACAAGTCTTTCCGAAAAATGTACACCGTTGCAGGTACAATACAGAAAACTTACGCCGTCTTTCACTGTCCACCGTAAAAGCATCTATTTTTTGGATTATACACCATTTCAGCATCAGATGAATCCTGTGACTAGTGCTTGAAATCTAAAAAAACAGCAATCTTTTAAGAAAAACAATTTACAATCCCAAAATCATTAATTTGCGCGAAATTTGCTTTACTCATAGTAACAGTTCCCTTACTAAATAAAAAATGTATACATGTACATACGCGAAATATTATTTCTTTTTTCTCCCCCGACTTGAAGTTCTCAATTGAAGGTAGTTACACTTCTGAACGACCTTTACACTATGTTCGACAATATCATCGACGAACACGACGTCTACAAAGTCAGTGCAAGCAATTCTCCCAAACTTCGTTGTTTTTATTATCCTACGCAACAAAATATTGCATTGTAGTGTCACCTAATTTCCTGTAGTTCAAAAGCTTGTACTGAGCCTTCTTTATTGCTTATCTCGGCGTCATTCATTTGATAACCACCAAAATTCAGGTTGAAACCATAGGCGACGGTTACTTATGTGCTTCGGGAGTACCCCGACGTAATGGGCATGAGCATGGCCGTGAAATAGCGCACATGGCCCTTTCAATTTTAAGTAACCTCAAGAACTTTAGAATACCACATCTCCCAACAGAGAGAGTCAATGTTCGAATAGGAGTTCATTCAGGTAATATGAGAAGAAGTTGAAAACTAATCAGGAGGCTTAGGATTGCGGGGCAAAGCATCAAACATTCCTGGAATAATTCTGTTATCGGTTCTGACGCCTCATAAAAATATTTTCTCCAAAGATCTTGCTGGCACTTTAAAACTCTTATCCGCCACTAACACAAATCACTTTTAGGTCCTTGTGTAGCCGGGGTTGTTGGACTGGCGATGCCTCGATATTGCCTCTTCGGTGATGCGGTTAATACTGCTTCCAGAATGGAGAGTAACGGGAAACGTTCGTAACGCCTATTCTCAACTTTACAATCATAATAATTTCTTTATTTTTCAACGGCGTAAACGAAAGAAATTTGCATTCAATTAAACTAGTGGATTTCTGTCATTTTTACACATTTCGCTGACTAACTGAAAATCAGTAAAGAATTTTAAGGCAGTACCACCATTGAACAAGTTTTAAACAACTCAAAAATTGCATTTTTAGCAGGAAAGATACAACTGTCTCCGGAAGCTAATCGACTACTGACGGAAGTGATCGGTGGTTTTAAAACAGAATCAAGAGGCGAAATTATGATTAAGGTTAACTTTATATTATGTTACCTAACATTGTTGTCGAGTAATTCACCTTCCAGTCTATTCCCAAACAGTCATTTAAGAAGATCTTCCAGTTACGGTTTTCTTCAGGGCAAAGGAGTCATGGAAACATTCTGGTTACTGAGTGGTGATGAAAGAGAGGAAAAGCCTCTTTCAACAGCAGAAAAGGTTTGCAGTCAAACCCAATACATAAGTTAAGAATATCAGTCATTTAGCAACATTGTTTTAAGAAATTTCTCAAATTTCTTCAACTAAAACTGTTGAAACAAGTGCAACAATTCCACAAGTAACAGTTCCTGTGGAATTTGTCATGGCTAATTTCAATGCTTTCAGCAACAAGAACCTCATCCGCCACCCGTTTCTGCAGCGGCAATTCTAAGTCACGTAGCAAATACCTTCACTAACCATACAGCAGCTGCTCAGCCTCCACATCCAGCCACGGCCGCAGCCAACCATTCTCCTGTTCCAACCACGAACCATACAGCACCCAGTCAACCTGCTGCTCCGCAAACAAATCACGCAGCAGCCACCGAATCTACCGAGTCAACAGCATCACCACCTCAAACAGCACCAGCTATTACTAAAGAAACACCTACAGCACCAGCTGTTACTAAAGAAACACCTACAGCACCAACTATATCGTCAGCGACAAACAAGTTTGCATCACGATTCAAAGCTACCGCTCCAATACAACCTATTGCAGAAGCAAGAAGTATATCACCAATAACAAACGGAACCGCAAATCAGCCTGTATCACTGTACAAAGAATATCTGCAAACATCCTAACGAAATGCCGCTACTACTGCCTGTTATCAAGAAGCGGTTTATCCAGTCCATAACTTACAACGTGCTGAAAACTAATAAAACAACAGAAATGATGGTATAACGTGCAAAAGTCTTATTTCCAAGTAAGGCAGCCTGCAACAAAGACTATTTACTTTTTTTTCCTCATGCTTATCAATGTTAATGGAATGATAAAGTAGCTTCACCAAATGTAACGTAAACCCACACATGAAAACAGAAAAAAAAAAAAGGAGATCCCATATACTTCCTAAGTAAACAGTGCCTTTTTGATCACATTGGCAAAAAAGAAATCCTGGCGGAAGTATGAAAAGTGACATAAAATTTACTAAAATCACCATCGAGCGGTCCGAAAAACTGCTTAAGGCCACTGTTTTTGCGGCCCTATAGTCACCATTCCCTGCACTCAGATACAAATACAAAATACCACAGGCGAAAAAAAACAGAAATAAATATTACAATAGTCGTCAGCAAAAATAATTAAGCTGAAACACCTCCACTTCATGAGTTAGTATTTTAAACTAATGGAAAAATAGAAAGAATTATTATGATATTACTTCAAGGAAATCAAAAAATAAACAACCATAAGCAAACTGAACTTCTTTTCAGCTCGAATAAATCAACTGTTCTTCTATTTGGTACCTGTTTTAATTGTCTGTCGAGATCTTACAAAAAACAGGTTGGAAAGGTTTTCAAAGTAGGAAAACTTTTTTGTAAACAACAAATAAAGCAGCTAGTAGAAGAATAAAAGTGGAATTCCAAATAACAAGTTCAATTAATGTAAAGAATAACTGTTACAATAAATATCCGACACTGTTTAGAGGCTATGCTATGCTTAACAAAAGAAAAACGATATTAAAATTGAGTCAGTAGTAAAAAACACGTTTACTTCAACATCTTCTCCTCTAATGATTTCGTACGTTTACTTCAACATCTTCTCCTCTAATAATTTCGTACGTTTACTGCGGAGTTCACGATCCCATGACAAAAATGGTTCTGTGATGAAATAGTTCATTGTCGCTGTGAAAAACTGTTCACAGTCTAAAAGCAGGAGTTTCGAAAATTATGACCGAACAAAAAATCATTCTCCAAAAACCGTTAAAAAGAATGAACAGTATCTAAGATAACTTTCTTAAGTACCTTCATCTACTAAAACAAGAAATTTTTTATGTTTACTCCGATATGTTCCAAAAAAACTAGAAAACCTTGTATTTTCCACTTAAACAAATAATTTACTCATTTTGCTGCTGATATACCTATGTTATATTTCTGCTCATATTGGAACGCTTGAGCGATCATATCAAACTTATCAAGCTGTTTTACAACTACCGCCTCGTTACTAGTCCCCTTCTCAAACTCTCTCCATAAGGATATCCAGTCAGCGGCAATATTCTTTGGTACCATTTCTCCAATTGCAAATAAAGCCTATATAAAATGCTTTTGAAAGAATCCTGCCACATGTGTCACACCAATGTAGATATATAAAATAATTTTTTACGAATCCTATGGATAGGTAAAAATTACTTCTTCCTCAAGCTGGTATTTTTTTTCAACTGTTATGCCGCAAAAAGGAGTTATATCGCCTGCAATCGCCTCTCCAATATCATGTACCAATGCCATTTGAACGCACTTCATCCTGTCTACGTCGGGGATCTCTAACGCCATTGCCAAAACTGCCATACGGTACATGTGAGAAGCAACTGTTTCTGGCTCAGGAACCTAAAAAAAAGGCAAATGAGTGAATGGCGTATAATGCAGCAAAGTGTCGGATAGAATACTAGTCAGAATAACTATTAAAAAAAAATAACTAAAAGACAAAAAGACACCTTCTTGAACTTACTCCAATTTTTATCCAACCGGTTCGTTTCAGGTGCTTCAAGTCATCTAAAACTTTTAGTATCTCAAATAACTGCATCACTACTAAACAGGAAGGGAATTACTCAAACAGGTCCTGAAAGCATTTGCCATATATTTCACAAGCGAGATTATCAAAAATAAACGATTTTAACGAGTCATTTAAATAGAAGAAAGATTAACTTCCTAAATTAAAGCATTCAGACGTTTATACTAAATTCTACAATAAAACATTACAAAAACTTTTTGCTTTAAACAGCAAAAATTAATTATAACAACTACAGTATATCAGTTAAACAGATTACTTTGTTATCTTCAGTTTTGAAGACTGTCGTAAATCACTACAACAACAATAAAAAAAGTAATAAATAACCAAATAAAATTTGGCTGCTCAAGAACAGGATAATTATTTTACTGTGACATACGAAATATCATCAAGCAGTGTGCAACAATATTAAAACAATAATCTTTTTTTTAATATAATAATAATTCTTATTGAACTTCGTCCTTTGTTCTCTACTTTACTTCCATCAATATAAAATTTACATATCACTGATTGCTTATCGCTCAAAAAGCGCATCATCATACCAGGTAAACCACTGTTAGTGCCCGCAAAAAATTTTGCTCAGCAATTCAAAGAGGGCTAACATATTTTTCTCATACATATCTTGAATTCACAACCCTACAAATATACCCACTTGTGGGCGCTCTCCAGCTAAATAAAAGGTGGAATAGGTTAGGACAAAAGACGGCAACTGTTTTGGCTCAAAAAGGAAAAAAAAAATTACCAAAGTCCAAAGAAGGTAGAATTCGAGCTGGCAACTATAATCGTACTGATTTTGCAAAAACAATGATTCTTCATCATCAGATACACTTTTCATAGAATAAGTTAAAAAATAATGTAAAATAAGCCTCAGGTTCTTAATAATCAGCGTCTGAATAAAAGCTATTAGCCATAAGATACAACAAAAACTTTAGAGTTTTACCAGCATAGTAGTAATCAATTTGTGGTGCTATCTCACCAGTGCGGAAACGGAAGCTGTGGAGGAAGTAAATGTTAGACACACCCATCACCACAGATTTGGGAACAATTTTGGAAGTCTGGAGAAAAAAAGAATCAAACGTAGATGCACAACATCTGATTTTTGTAAAAAGAGGAACAATAATTTACAATAAAGGGAAATGAATCCATGTTAACTACGAAGTCCGACAAGAAGAACAGATTTTATTACCTTATACGAATACCGTGAATGAATCAGCCATTTCAGCCACTCATGAAAAACTTTGTCGTACTTGAGTTGTAAAGAAAACAAATACAGTGAGTACAAAGATGGTGAATGCCTGAAACAATATAAGAGGTTAAAAGAATAATAGAAAATGTCATACCTGCCAAAGATGGAACGTAAAAAAAGTCATTTAATACCGGCAGTAGCATTACTAAGGTTTGCGGCAGCTAGAGTACGACTGATCCACTTCACTACATCAAACTATTTCGGTCATACCATTGTGGATCAAAATAAGGTCAAAATAAAAATATAGTTAACTTCAATCACTTGCCTAACCGCTATAGCATTACGCTTAAAATCAATTAACAACCTGACAACAGAATTTTCAATAAATAGGCAGAAAAAATTTAAATGGAGGGAAGGAGCATCTGATGTAGATAATTTTGAAGCAGTTCATCAATTTCCTGAAAAAAATCATAAGAATCCTAAAAAGGACAAGAAATATGGTGACCTGCTAACAGACTTCCACATTCGGTAGTCTTTTATTACTCCCTTATCATTTTAGAGCAGTAGCTATTATGAGAAAATGGTAGGTTCGGTAAAAAGAATGTCGCAGCGAACACACAGACAAATTTTAACGGTGGAAGAACAACACCATAAATTTTTTTGCGAAGCTGAAGGTAATGCGATCATGCATCTCTTGACCTAAACAGGCAAACACCAACGTAAGAAAAAACTACTGAGGCTTAAAAATTTAGTAATTTAGATGCCTTATTCAACCTATAACTTCGCCCAGGTATTTTAAGGAATAGAATGTGGACGAAGAATACGAGCCTTCCAACAAAATCGCTAACTTTGTAAAACAGTTCTATGACAACTTAAAAGTTCCAAAAAGATGTCGAGCCGTATAACACGTAGAATCCTTGCAAGGTTTAAAGAAGAAACAAAAAACTCACTTAAAAAATCCCCGCAGTTACGCTTCAAGTGCCCAAAATAGTCTTAATTACAGAAGCACGTTTGATGGGAACATCAAGAAATTAAAATCAACATTATGGTAGCGAAGAGAACTGGGACACTGAGAATGACCAGTCGAATCAAAATCAAACGATCAATAATGCAACTGTGCCGAATATATACTACTGAATGATTAGCTGATCGGATGATAAAATATTACGGTGACCAAAGCGGAGGAAGAAATAAATAGAGTGATCGTCAAAAAATCTGCAACGAATGGCATAAGCCCAACGGTGTGTCTATATAACAATTTATGTGGGACCGCTCAAAAAAATGATAGAAGCTAGCAAAAAACATAGTTCCAAAGCTTGGTTGAAAGTGGGAAGTTTAAAGGAAAATTTGTAGCTTCAGAAACAGAAATGATGAAACAGAAACGAAAGTATTGCTCTATCTTAAACGGTTGCACCAATCAACATATAGGTGGAGATATGTGTTTAAAAAATATCCAATGATAAGCTGAACCACAACTTATTCTCTCTATACGGAGACATTGTCAGAAATGCTCGAGGGCGGGTCAGAAATCATACACAAACTCCTTGCAATACAATTTTGCCTTCTGAAAAGTGTCGCGACGTCGCATGAAATGGCTCCGAAGGCCGCAGACGGTAACGAGCCAAACATGGCCCTGAGAGGACGCTCTTGGAGGCTATGGTGGAAAGATCATCACAACAACAACAGGTATAAAAGGGCAAAGTAACAATAAGAAGTTCAGTTATCTACATTGTCTTTTGAGTCATTAGTCGAGATCAAGTAATCGCTCATTTTTTGCTTTAGTTTTCTTTTTGCTTGATTTCTAAGTTTATTTTTATTTTGTTCTTCAGTTTAAACATTCGTTAATTTATGTTTTCTTTGGACTGAAGTTTATTTTGTTTAAAAAGTTGCTTATTATTGTCGTTGGGATAATTCTTTATACTAGGGTGACACTAAGGGTCAAAGGACCAGTGTTGCTTCTCTATTTATATGCTAATATTTGATAAACTATCAGGGTGTAGGTAAGTGAGTTGTGCTCAGTGATCTCACACACTTCGTATAACCAAAACTTCCTTATTCATTTGTTTGTAATAATCGAAGGCCTCAGTAAATAAAGAACTATCCAGTAAACTAAGCGTCCAACTAAGCTACCACTCTGCGTCAATGAAAGAAGAATACAGTCCTCCATAAAATGCCACAAGCGTCGGCAAGTACGATTGCTAGTAGTTTCAAAACTTTAGTAACAAGGATCCCCGTAGGGACATTGTAGAGGAGTTGCGATCAATTCCTCAATTAAAAGGGCATTCGGTAGTTGCGACAATCAGAATTTAACGGAATGATTCAAAAAGGCAAATACTATCAAACGTAACTGTGTAATCAATCCTAGTTTCTGATGAGGGACTGATAATTAATTTCTGATAATTATCAAGTATTAGGAAAAGAAGATGATGAAGCTGTATTCTGTACTCTTCGATTTCTGTTATGCAAAATACACACTGTGTCGCGTCAAGCGAACGCTCCCAAGCTGGAGAGGAAGGAGCCGACATACCGGGACGAGATTCCAAAACTGGGGAGACGGAAAGAGGTTAAAACGAAGCCGACGATTGTGCGGGGAAACAACTCCGGATTCGAACAGAACTGCTATGGCGAAGTAAGAGCTGGCGGGGTTTGACCGAGGCGAGATGTCAACCCCGCCCAGAGCAGAATGGCTATCTAGCCCGGAGAAGGGGAGACGAGTTTTACCTATGTGATTTCCTGTACTCACCTTTTTAATGTTCTAACATGCTTATGTTTTGATATAATTTTCTAATTTGTATGCTTTGATTTATGATTTTATTTCTAAAGGTTTAATTACCCAAGTTTGAGGTTTCATTGTGCTATATTCGCTTTCTGAAATAAAACTATCAAAATCCAAGTCCCGCGTGGCAACATATTCACGTATAGACGAGCAAATTCTGGAGATAACTATCCAGAACAAGGAGAAGCAGTCGAAAGGATCAAAAGGAAAAAAGAAAGAATTATCAAATTATCTATACACTGTATCCTTAAATACAATTTTTGAATGTTTACATGTTCTGTTCAGAAAAAGTTCAACAGAAATAAATGTGCAAGTAAACGATCTTCAAGAGATACGCACTGTGGAACTTGTCTCAAAGAGTCAGAAACAAGAATTCTGAAAATTGAAATCCTCTAACTTTTTACAGTGCTTCAGCACTTATATCATTAGAACCATATATCCTAACCGTTTGCTTAACGACAGTTGAGAGACCGGTTTACCAAATAAGAGAGAAAACACTGCAAGCTTGCAGTATATGGACAAGCAAAAAAAAAGTATAAGCTGCACTCTTCCTAAAAGAACCTTGCAGTTTTCATCACGAGCAGCGAACGTAACGTGCTTACACTTTAAGCATATCTTAGAGGATACCTACACCCCAATTTAACCTTTTTCTAATGCCTATACCTCCATTTAACAATAAGATTGCAGGAAGAAATTTAGCAATTAATAATTCAAAACGTTCAAAAAAATTTCAAGGTTTCAAATACGGCTGTAAAAGAAGTAAAAATCAGTCAAGTAATTAATTTGTTATAAGTGTTAAATGTCAAAAGCGTTTGGCAAAAAAAGAGCTAAAAATATGAATATGCCGCAGATTTAAGTTTACTTTAAGCATAGTGGCTATGCTGAAGAACTATTTGTAGTGGGTCGTTTTGAAATAGAAAACGAAGGAGAAACTGTATTTTTCCGCTTCTTTTCGATCATACCCGAATTTGAATTTTCAAGTAAATTGCCATGCCCTGCTAATGAAATGAAGTTCGTGGTCCAAACAAATTTAAAGCTGATCTGCAACTGCGGAATAAGTCAAAGGAAGTGATC